CTTCAGAGACAAACTTTGCTTGTTTCTGAAGATAACAGATACGACACCAGAGACAACGTCCATTACTGAGCTTTACAGACGTTGTCAAGGATGACACAGACATACAGACGGAGGTCGACTATTTTTTCGGTTCTACCTCTTACTAAAGGGTAAAAAAAAAAAAAAAAGTAACCTCAGAACGGAAGGACGGCGATTGACGGGTGCCATGTCGTACAAGTGTGGAGGAAAAGAAGAAGAACTGGCCAGTCTTCCAAGCAACAGAAGAAGTTACAACAGAAACAAACCTAAATATCTTTCGTCGAGGAGGACACAGAAGTACGTTTCGAGGGGGACGACTATTTGTTGGTTCTTTCACCTGTGGGTTCGGGTTCTGTCTACCCCACTCTGATTGTCCTCAATTACACCTAAGCAAACTTTGGTACAAGGACAGAGAAGGACATCATTTCCCTGTAAATTCATCTAATATTAAAGGAGAGTACAAAGAGAGGGGTCCCACTGAGATACAGGAGATCTACGAGAGTCGCGAGAGCAACTGTGCGAAGGTCTTCTAAATGGTTTTGTACTAGAGCGGACTTGAGTCTGGACTCCTGTTAGTAGAGCATCCTCGGTTTCGTCGTTTGTGTAGGGAGCAGGAGTCTAATAGAGACTGAGAGATTATTCTGTCATGTTCAGTTCTGTGGAGGAGGGTCCACGTCAAAGAATTTGTGTCTTGTTGTGTTGTTACGAGAAAAAGGATAAACAAAGGAAAATGTCCTCCCGTTTGTGTCTTCCTCTTCCCACACAAACATCCCTCTCTCCCTACTAGGTACGAGGTCTTATGTTCCAAACCTTCTTCCTCCTGGAGTTTTTTTCACGGACGAGATTTTGGACTCCCACCTCTCCACCCTTCTACAACTGCAACTCCGGAAATTTTTCATATTAAAACACCTTATACTTTGTCACTTGCGTCCTTATTAAAATATAAATGTATATAAAAAAACGTGACGGGGAAAAGTTGGTGTCGGTGGTACCCATGACGGGACTACGAGACCTGGGGGAAAAAACAGACCTCGGAAGTACCTGGAGGAGTTGGTCGAGGGAGGACGTGTCCATGTCACAACTTATG